CCCCCCCCCCCCCTTTTTTTTTTCTTTTATTTTTTTAATTTAAGCAGTTGCATTTAGTTCAGCTGCAAGATTACCATAGGATTATGGGGTAAAATACTTGTTTTAAACTGTTCAGTAACATGGAGTATTTCATGACTGTAGCTACTTGTATTTCCACTCGCATAGATTTGTGACTGGAATAGTGGTTGAAAGTGTTTGTTCTATATTCTTTTGATTGCACACATTTTCCTGTTGTTTTTATGTTTGCTGCCTATGCATTATGGAAATTTGGTTTCATTTCTGCTTAGAGGAAACGGCTAACTTTTGTGTAAATTTATTCTTTTGCCTGTGTCATTGAGTGGTGCTTTTTCATTTGGGGGAGGAGATGGTGGGTTACAGCCTGCTGCTCTTTGAAACCCTCTGGGGCCACCGGCGTGCAGGAGAGCAGCGGACGCGTGGCTGGTGTAACGCGGAGTCAGGAACACTGCGTCCTCCCGGCAGGTTCTGTAGCTTGGGCAAATTGATCTGAATTGATGTCTCAGTTACCTCCTTTATAAATTGTTCTTTTATTACTGGATTGTGGTCTGTAAGAGCTATCGGTCAAAACCACTGTAAGTTGGTGTTTGCTGTGGCACAATCTGTTGTAGCATGGATTCTGTTGAGAAAATTTTTCTTTGTAGCTTATCTCAAAAGAAAGCTTAACAAAATTATGGCCTCGGAGTACACTTTGACTTTTTGTCAGAAAAAGCTGAGGATAGTTGTTTTCATTACTGTGTTGGTATCTCAGACATAACAGGTGTGATGACAAGAAATGATGATTCTTGGTGTGATGCAGAAATCCTTCAGCCTTTTGATGCTATAGCAGTTGTTGCTTATTGTAAGTAGGCTTGCTGTTGCTCCTGCTGCCACCAGTTTGTGTTGCCTTGATGGCAAATAGGCAAACCAGAAGGAATTATTAAAAAGTAATGCAAAGAATATAGAGAACCTCTTAAACCCAAACCTTTCTCAGATTTGACTGAAACACTTAGTTGGTCTCGGTGTAAATAAATCTGCAGTATGTAGTCCCTAGTTATGATGTGACTCGCAAGAAAACTTGCGTGTGGCGATGGTGATGCTGTCGGGTTGGGGGTTACAGTAACTGTTGTGCCTCTGGACCACAGATTTGCATCATACGTGGACAGAAATCTTTTATTCACTGCGTGTTGCACACTTGGGAGTCCTTGGAGTTGCGTCTTGACTATAGGCATGGTGCATACCTGTCTACGATGTGTATGCTGAAGTTTGACATATGCTTCTACCATCTTTTAATCACCTGGGTTGCTCTCATGTCTGTAACGAAATGGAGCTTGACAGCAATTCCTGTGCTTTTTAGGAACATACTTTGGGTTTGGGTTTTTTAAAGCCAGAAAGTTGAATATTGAAAATTTTAGGCATAAACTATTGCACTATAATCAAAATGTCTTATTGAAATGAAATTTGTGATCTTTAGCTGTCTTCCCCCTGTTTGACACCTGTGCCATGCATTGTAGATGTAGTGGGTTGTTCTTAGGAAGGTTGATGTTGTTATCCCAGCGGTTCTTGAGTGTTTTTATGGAATCCATGTGTATCGGACAGCCAGAAGTGGAGAGAAACGTAATACTCTGTTCACATTTCTTAAAAAAAAATAAAATTATATTTAGCACCTAGTTTACAAACTAATAACTGTAGCTGCCCTGTACAGTTGTTCACCTCGAGTCTTCAGTAAAACATGTCAGCAGTTAGAGGAATTTGTATTGGGGGTATTCCCCATCATTCTCAATTTTTAACATTTTTCTGCTTGTGAAATGATAAAGTACTGTGAGCCTTAATTTTTATCCACAAATAAAAATATTATGTTTGAACATTGGTGTGACTTATTTTTTTTAAGGCTTACATGTAGAAACTACATTACAAATGGACTGTCTATTTTGGGTTGAAAAGGCTGTTTTGTGGCAGTGAACCGGTTTTCTGGCAGTTTTGTGGCTGCCAGACCGTGCTGGGGTAAGGAGATGTCCCTGCCGGGACACGGCTGTCCCTTGCTGTGTCGCAGCCCAGGACACCCCACGGCAGAGTGATGGGGTGCTCTCTGGTACTTGCCCCGTGGGTGCTTTTGTACTGTGATAGGCTATGGCAAATGTAACTTCTTCCTAAAAAGAGCCTTTTCTAGGGCTCTGTCCTAGCGGCCCTGTTAATGAACCGAAGCCGGCGCCGAAGCCGGTGATGCCCACAGGAGCCGGGACAGGCTGCTCCGTCCCTGGGTCTGCCGTGTCCTCGTGGGAAACTTCTCCATCACCTCGTTGCATTGGGGTTGCTGTTGGTTTTGTGGCAGACCTCTGCTGCTGGACTTTAATTGTTTTTTAGCAGCAGGTCACTGTTTGAAGACCGCATGCAAATTTCCCCTCTAAAAGGATAAAGGCAGCTGAGATTATAGTTAAGAACAAAACCTTCACGTGCAGTCGTAAGGACTTGCTGTCATCTGCAGGAGAGGGTGTGAGTGGGCACTGGTCGTTTGTCTTGCTTAAAGACCCTTCCTTGCAGTGCACACGCGCTGCACTCCGTAATCAAAGTGAACCCGACCGCCGTGATTTCGGTGTCAATGATCTGGCCTCGAGCGCCGCCGCGGTTCTGGCTCTGTGGGCAGCGCCTGTGCCTGTGCTCGGGCTGTCCCGGGGCTCGGGGGCACTGTGGGAGTGGGGTTTGGTTGAGCCGCTGCTTACGATCTGCTCTCTGACCTGTGATGTGAATAAACCCTTATCCCCCAAAGACTGCAACAGCAAGTTGTTCTCGTCAGGGTCCCCAGGCAGCGTTTCTGCGTAGCTGCAACCCTCTGCTCCATCTCCTGTTGTGCCTGGGCAGCTGGAGCTGCAGCAGTCGCCCCGCGCTTGGGACCCACGGACCTTGCAGAGACGGTGGGCTTTTGCTTTTTTGGAGGGATTGTCTTCCTCTAGGGAAACTTCAAAACAAACATCTCATTTTGTGTGGTTTTTCTTCCGTAGCTCAGTAGTGATGGAGACTCCGGGCCAAAACCCTCTGGGCAGTTTCCAGCCTTCCAGGAGAGCAGTAAGGGGCTTCAGAGAAGCAGTGGGAAGGATCCAAGGTAAGGAGGACGTGCAAGTCTCGGCTGAGCATCGCCCCGAAGCGCTTTGGGGGCTGGGGATGCGGCCAGGGTGGTTTTTAGCAGGGTGACGGCTGTGCAGTCGGGGGCTGGGTGGCAGGGAGCAGGGATGATCCTGGGGTCTCTCCTCGCCGTTCCCGGGAGCAGGGCCAGCCGTGCCACCAGTGCGTCCCGCCGGCTCTGGGTGCGGCCCCGCATCCACCCAGGGAGTGTGGAGGTGTTTGGGGTCTGTGTTACGGGGACAGACGAGTTACTGGGGGCAACCCCTTGCAGCGTGAAAGCGGTCGGGGAAAGGACAGTTGCAGAAATGAAGCCAGGCATGTTTTCCACAAAACTAATTTTCCACAAAAGCTTTTTCAGAAACTTCACAAAATGGAAAGGAATTTGGATTACTGGATTTTTTTGTTGTTGTAGATTTGGAAGAATTTTGTTTGCCTTTCCAGCACAGGCTGTTCCTGCAATCCTGCACGCTGCAGCATGGTACCCTCCCTGTCGTGGTGGAGTTTCCCCTGGTTTCATTTTCTCAGTCAAAAATACTTCGGTTAGTTTGCTAGTGGTGGTGTATCCATTAAGTGACTTTACATAGCAGGGCACCTGTTTCTGGGGCTGCTGGCCTTGCCCTGTGCTGGCTTTATTTAAAGGAATCCTTCTTCTCCTCTCTCTCTTGCTTCACCTTGGTGCAGAAATGATCTTTCCAACAGAACAAAAAGCTTCTACCTCAAAACGTTTCTACTGCATTTTACAGCGACCGCCGCAGTAAAGTGAGGTTTATAACTTCGAAGCCGAGGTTGGCTCAGCGGCGGGGCGGGGCCCGCGAGGGCGCGGGGGGGGGGCTGGAG